TCTAATTTTTGTCTGCAGTCCTTTACATTTGTCCGTACTTCACTTTTCCCTGTCTCTTTGACATCCTTCTTACAGTGCCTAAGAAAGTCAGCCTGCATTAAGAGCTGTAATATGGTCACCATCGTGAAAACAAAGACAGAAACTCACAGATTAGAGGGGACTAACAAGACATGGTGACTAAATGTGAGCCTGGATCCTAGGTTGCTCCTGGAACAAGAGAGTGATGTTAGTAGAAAGACTAGTGAAATCTCAAACATACTATGTTCGTTTCTTAGGTTTGCAGGTGTTTGTTCCGTGGGTGTGTAAGATGTTAACATTGGAGGAGGCTGGGTGAAGGGTATACAAGAACTTTCTCTACTACCTTTGTAACTTCTCTAAGTTCTAAATAATTTTCTAAAGTTATTCCAAAATTAAAAGTTGACTAGAATCATAGAGTTTTCAAAACAGACACCACCTCAGGACTCGTGTAGTTTTAATCCCCCTCTTTTTTAGGGGGAAACTGAAGCTTAGAGAGTGAAGTGACTTACCTGAGGCCCCTCCAGAAGGCTCCAGCTAGTGCCCGAGAGCCGAGGTCTCTGTCCCCTTCCCACTGTGCACCTGCTTTCAGAGATCTCTGTATTCCCCTCTCTACAGTGAGTCTTCCCTGGCCAGCGCAGGGATGGGCCTGGCTGGTACATGGTCAGGGTGGACAGTGCAGGTGTTGGCTTCATGGGCTGCATGTGATACACTCTGTTGATGAAGAACATGACAAACATCTAGCACTTACCAACTGTGGTGCATTTTAGGATGCTGCGTCCCTGGATGCGCGTATCTGAGAGTTACTGAGATGGGGGAAGTGGCTTGCAGCTGGCTTGGTCTTCTTGCATTCTCCATTGTCACGTACCCTGTGTGAAGAAGGGTGTGAATGCTAAAGGCTGTCGGGAGCCCGCAGGAGGTAGAATGAGGTGCCCTGCTGAGTTCCTCACAGCTCTAGAGGGGCCAGCCATTTTGACTTTGCAGTTAGCTCTGATTATGCACCAGCTGTTTGCAGAACCTCTGTAAAGCACGACTAAAAATGAGATGGCTTAACACCCTTGGAATATTTGCCTCTTCATCCTATGACAGAATGAGGCAGAGAGAAAGTAATTTGCAGCTCTAATTCAATCGGCAAAGGTCAAAAAGCTAGAATTCCTGAAAGCAAATCTTGTTCTGCTCCAGCCCTTGCAGAGCCTGGTGCTGTCCAGCCTTTTGGATTTCCTACAGAGTTCGGGTCTAGGATTTTAACTCCTGGAATCTGTTTATTTAAAAAAAAAGAAAATCAGTATGGAGCGAATTCATGGAGTCTGTGTCACTGGTTAAAGTTACGGCTAATCAAACTTCTGTTTAACCTGCACCCGTAACACTAGCATCCTTTAGACAGACTATTGGTATGAAATCTTTTCATCCAGGTGGAGCAGCCTGACTGATTGCTCTGGGCCCTGAGGAAGAAGCACTTGCCGTCCAGACCCCAGACCCTCCTCGTCCTTAGTAATGAGTCACTCGGGTCACCACTGACCGAGGTCCAGATGAGTTGTGGTTCCACAGTCACCAGTCCACTGAATTGGGGTCTAAGAGTCACAAACAGTTTTTAAAGTATTTAAAATCATTTTTTTCTTGATCTTCAAGGTTAGATGGATTTGCTGATTTCCTACGTTTCCCTGAAGTTCTTTTATTTTTATTTTCTTTTGATGAAGGGAAGGGCTGACGGGGATTGAGAAGATAATGGAAACTTTGAAAAACTCTGCTGACTTTTGTTCAGTCCAAGATGGGGATCTTTGGGGAAGCGAAAGCGCCGTGAATAGGTGCACACAGTGTTTTTAAGAACCATCGGCGTGCGTGCGCCGTACCAGTTCTGGAACTGGGGGTGTTTTTGTGAGGTCACAGAGCAATCATTGTCACGCCATTTGGACTTCCAGTCTGTTCTTGGATTATTTTAGCAGTGTTTTTATTTTAAAACTTCCTTTAAAAGAAGTACCTCCCCCCTTTTGGTAATTAACAATCCATATGGGGTGATTAGAGGAGAAATTGCTTTCATTCCTTTTCTGTTTGCGTGCTGAAAGTGGTAGGGAACAAATTTCTGTTTTTTTCAGACAGGCCAAAATTTTATATTTATTTTTCTGTGTTGCTGAATAATAAAATCAAGTTGCATAGAACCTATAATATGAGCTCATTTATTTTAATGTATGCATTCATGCATGCGTGTGGAAGATTTTTAGAAAGACATGTAAAAAGCCGAACGTTAGCCTGTGAGAAAGGCGTGTGGGTGGGCAGGGAGGATTGCACTTTTTTTTTTTTGAAACTGTACTTTTGTACTTCTTTTCTTTCTGTACTATTTTGACTTTTGCTGTATTCAAGTGGTTTTTTTAAAATAATTTTTAAAACTTGTGATTTCCAACACAGTGTTTTCTCGCCTCACCCATCTTTGTAGCTGTTCTTTGAGCAGCCTCTTAGGACTCCTTATGTTTCTCCCGCTGATAACGGGGTCTGCTTTTTGGCCTTTGTCTCCCATCTCACACCCAATGACTTTGGTTATATCTGTCCTATGCCCACTGCCTGCATTTCTCTCCAGCTTTGGCACTTGAGGCTCTTGGGAATCAGGTGGTGGGGTTTCCTCTCACAGGTGTGGTACCCGAGGCCCCTGTGGCCCTTCCCTGCCTGTTTGCAGTCTCAACTAGACTGCCTTGCTTTCATGACGAAAGAGGCTGAGATACAATGCCTTATCTCCTCATAGATCTGGCATCCTTGTGCATCTCCGAGGACTAGCATGGTCTGCCGTTTGGTACCCAAGTAGTGTTTACACTCAGATATAGCTGACATCATACATGCAAAGGTTCCTTTCAGACTGTAGGAGGCAGAGTCCCCTGACTCTGAGAACACCCATACCTCATGGCTTAAGATCCCTTGGGCCGAGAAGCTCAAAGGGCACCTCTGATGGTGGCCCCAGCACAGGAGGGAGACATGCCATTACCATCACCAACGGCCTCGTGTTAACATTTTTCAGCATGTTAGCTGGGACTCGTTAGGAACTTAAACTGTGACACTTAAGATGACGTTTTCTTTGTAAGATTCCTGCAGACTTGGAGATAAGTTACTAAAATGAAGAAAGTAAGACTTCAGTTTCTGGAGAACTGAGGGATAGCACGGCCTTGGGAATGACCAGGCCTGACAGTGAACCTCGGTTCACCAGGGACCAGGCGCCTGATGGGGGGAGGCCGGCGGTCCCCTGGGCAGCACTTAGTTAATGACGTCAGCTCTTGTGCATTTCCCTCACTTTCTGGGTACTTAACTGTCTTCTCCTCTTGATTCTGCCTGCAGGTTGTGGAGAGGAGGAGGACTCCAGCCGAAATCAGGGAAGAGTTTGAGCGGCTGCAGAGGGAGAGGGAGGAGAGGCGGCTGCAGCAGCGAACCAACCCCAAGGTGAGCCCGGCCAGTTCGAGAGGGAGCTGTTGCAAGGCTCCGTCACCAGAAGGCAGGTCCAAAACAATTAGTGCTGGTGGCTCTTTCGAGTAATGGCATACAAAACTGGGCAGGTCAGCATGCTGCTTGCGTCTCACGGTGGCATCTGGAAAGCCGTCAGCAGAGCTGCAGCTGATGACCAGGAGCGAGGGCACCTGGGAATTTCCCAAGCAGAAGCACAGGCCGCTCTCTGAGGCCCTTCCTGGTAATCATGCTGCCAGGCCCTCAGCACGTGAAGATCAGTTGGAGGTCTGTGTTGGGGGAAGGACAGCCACCTGCCCGCGCACAGAGGTCGTAGGACCCCTGCGCACCAGTCAGGGTTCAGAGAACAGGTGATGCAGAGGGCTGGGGACGCTTCCAGACTGCATTGAGTGGGGGCCCATGCTTTTATCACCCCAGGACAAGGGTGCCACGATGACTAGTCACCAGGCTGTTTCTGTGGCAGCGAAGTGACTGTTGTTAACTACCACTCGAGTCCGCGGTGGGGCTCGAGGCGTCCCAGGTTATGCAGCGCAAACTCTGTCAGAGACCCACCTGAACCTGAAAGAGGCTTTTCAGTCCAGGTGTGATACTGTTTCCCTTTGACTTGTTAGGGAAGCCAGTTGTTCTGAGTGTGTGTCATGGTCCTGTGACAAACAGGATACCTCAGTCCATTTGAGGTGCCAGGTATACTGAATGAGGCTTGTTGTCCTGTTCAGCTGTGTTTAGTAAGGGAACTCGGAGCCGGCTCCATCGGTGTGGCCAGGATGGTCTGTCAGGCAGCCTGGAAATCTTATAAAAGAAAAGAGCAGATGCTAGCTTACAGCTGGGAAACATGATGTTAGGAACTTGTGGTCAAATACATTCTAGAAATTGATTTTTTTAAGACCCATACAGTATTTAAAGGCCCATATATTGAGAACACTCCCATCCCTTTGAATCGTACTCTTCAAAGTGTATTTGTAAATGCCGAAACCTCTCCTTTCCATCCTCCCGCCCCTTCAGCAGAGGACGGCTTCAGTAGGGCAGTTCACTTTTGGTCAGTCGGAAGCAGAGACTTGAAACACTGGCTGAACCGAGTCGGGGGTGTGAGGCGCTGAGAGAGCTGAAAATCTCCGAGGCGCCCTGACCTGTGCTAGTGGACTCCCTCCTTGGGTGTCCCAGCCAGTGCGCTGGAGGGGGTCTGGTTAAAGGCCTGCATTGGCAGATGGAGGTGGGGGGGGGGGGAGCCTGCGAGAGCAGGCTGGCTGTTGCCGGGGTGCCTTTGCTTCGCTGGCTGAAGTTTGCTGCATTCAGAGCAATGAGGGGGAAAGGGAACTCACAGGGAGCCTCTGTGTCCTGTGATAAAATTGGCATCTGGGTGTGCGCAGTGATTGCTTATTGGGATTCTATGGAAATGTGTCTCCAGGCCATGTTTCTGTGGAGTGAGGGAGCGCAGCTGTGACCGTTTCACACCGGCACACAAGATATTGTAAAATTCCCAATACTTTACTTGCATAAACTGTCTCCAAAGAAATAAGACATTCTGTAACCAGAAACGCCAAGTGGTAAACAGATGTTGGCTGTGCGGCACTTTGAAGAGAGGTTTTGAGCTGGATTTTCATTCCATTTCCGAGTGTTTTGCTTTGCAAGATGAGCAGAAAGGCTTGGAATCGCCTCATCCTCAGAAGAAAGGGATGATCTCTTCTAAGAAGACCATAGGGAGAAGGACACTTGTGACGACCCTGGGGCTTGGCACTGGACTGTCACCCGGACCCCCGCAGAGGACCACAGCTTGTTGGGGTGGGCAGACTGGTTAGCATTTGTGATACCGCCACCTGAATCTTGGGTGCGATTTCTCCACGTTCATCACTAAGAGTTCACTGGGTGGGAACTTTCCAGTAGGAGTACCTACCACGAACAGGCAGGAAGGCCGTGGGGGGAAGCTGGCTCTGACACAGCGACGTGGGACGCAGCGCTCACCATGGGACCCACACGTGGTTTTGTCATTCCTAGAATGAGGGCATGTGTTCTAAGCACCATGCCAAGCTGTTAAATGATTGAAAGAATTTGAAATAGATGGGGATTTATTAGCGAAAGACAAGCCTGCCCTGTAAGTGCCAAGTGGTGCGAGTAGCGAGGGGGAGTTAGGAACTAAATCTGACTTCAGGTCTCACACAGCCCTGCGTGGGGAGGACTTGACTTGGTGGGGTGATTCCTGCCGGTTGTGGCTGGGTCTTGGTCTGTCCATTGGGTTTTGGAAACGGCTCTCTGCCAGGACCAGCCACCTGCTCCTGTGCTGAGGCCATGCCGCGTCAGTGTGGCCACCCGCTCTGTGTGAGAGGTGCTGTGGACAGCACTGCGGAGCCCCCAGCCTTCCCAGCTCTAGCCAGTGGGACGCAGGCAAGCACAAGGCACTCACAGACGCCTGAGGCAGCAGAGAGAGCCCTACACCTGGCGTCGAGAGCCCTGGACTCCACCCTCCAGTTCTGTGTCCTGGGTCAGGTCACTTCTCCAGCCCCAGCTCGATCTCTCCCTACGTGAAAGGGTCTGTTTGCCATGAGACCCAGTGCTTGGGGTCAGATTCTCAGACCCCAGCATCCTTAGTTTAATTGCCTGTTTTCTGTCTTTAGGACCTTGGGGAATAAATCCCTCTGGAAAGCACCAAGTTCAGGTCACTGGGGTCCTGGCATCTGCCTCCAGGGCCCTCCTCACTGGGCGGATGAGGGAGGGAACTTAAGACTGGGCAGATGACGCAGTTCGTTTGCGTCCCAAGGACCGTGTGTGACCACGCTGGTCTCTCAGATCTCTATTTCACTTGCATAATCCATCTTCATTTCTTGCCTTTTAGAGGCTAAGATCATACGATAGGGTTGTTCTGTGCCGTGTTCACTTCATATTGATTATTGTAACTCCTTTCTTTTGTTAATACCAATAAATCTCTCTCTGTGGATGGCAGCCAGTTTAGGAGGCAGGCTGTTCACTGCCTTCTGTATGAGCTTGCCTGCATCCCACGAGAAGCAGGGCATTGAGCTGAGTTTTGTTCAGGGGGCTTCGTTGTCTCACTCAGAGAGTATCCACTCCTTTCTTTCTGACCCTGTTCCATCAGAGTGTCAGGGAGGTTGTTACTGGATTCCCTGGACCATTCCGTTCTCCATTCACCATACAGAGGTTGGCATAAACTCCCTGGTAAGAAGACCCTCTTTCTGATTTTAGAAAGGTCATCCTATCAGTGTGGTTCATGTAATAGCTTAAAAACACAATTCAAAAGGAAATTTCTTTTGTACAGCACAGGGAACTATGTTCAATATCTTGTAATAACCTTTAATGAAAAAGAATATGAAAACGAATGTATGTGTGTATATGCATGACTGGGACACGGTGCTGTACCCCAGAAGTTGACACGTTGTAACTGACTGTACTTCTATAAAAAAAAAAAATACAATTCAGCTTTATCGGGGAAAAAAATGTTAAATACTATATTAACGAAGACATATAACCATAATCCCAAAATGTTTTCATGAAAAGGTATGAGTACATTACTCAATTATTTTTAAAGGCGTTTTTAAAAGATTTGTTTTGGTTGCTATGTCTAGTGATTATAGCCATCGGAATGAGCCAGTGGTTATGGCTTCAGTCTGTTCTCTGAAGTGATTCTGATGCTGTAAACTGACTTGACTCAGCTGACAGGATCATCGTGCTGAAGAAAAGCTGTCTTAACCCATATGTTTGCTATGCTGGATGGCAGAGGGGCACTTTACCGTGTGCAGAAATGGTCTGCTGTTGAAATGAGAAGGCTGTTTGCAAGGGTACTGGCTGGAGGGCTGTCCCTCCGCCCTGTCAGCCCAGGGTTTTACAAACACGGCATCAGAAATAAAGGCTACTGTGGAGAGATGTGGTGGGTGTGGGCAGGGAGGGGAGGGAGGCTGGGGCCGAGTTATTCTTAGACACCCTGGTAAATTTGAGTTTGATCCTCCGTAAAACTGGAGAACCCAGGTTCTGACCTTCATCTCAGATAGGATGGTTCTGGGGAGACTGTCTCACAGAAGCCACCACGGGTTCATCAGCTATAAAATGGGCAAATTTCACATCACCTCCCACCATAATTGCCTCTCGGTGGAATTTTCAATTAATAAATAGTTATTGTTGAGATTGCCTTGAGAGGAATTTCTCACATTATCCTTACGGCCAGATAAAGGAATATAAACACAAAAATATTCAGAATGAAACATTCTTTGCCGGATGAAAAACTGAGTCTACTCAGAGAGGGTTGATTAATGCATTGTTTCCAACCTGAGAAGCTTTTCATCATGCAGGAGAAAGGCTCTAACTTGACATCCTCAGAATTTCTATGAATGACGTCAGTGAGCATGCGTTTGTCACATTCACAGGTGACCCAAGGTGGAAGGACAAAATCAGGATTCTAAACGAGCCCAGTGAGGCAGAATGGAAGGGGTGAATGTGCTCGCTGAGTGAGATAAGGGGAGCTAGGGAAATGATGGTCTTTAATTGACTCGCTGGCTTAAGATTGGCAGCAAGGAACAGAACCAACAGCAGGAGGATGATTTGGACTTGGCTTAAGGAACATGGGACAAGGCGGGGGCTGGGGGTTAATGGAGACTGCACTTCCATCCACACAGTGTGGCAGCAGGCTGCGGTGGGGTGTGTAATGCCGGTAACGCGGGTTCCCCAGGCTGCTCCCAGGGTGTGGGCTGGCAGGGAGCACTCCCGGAGGCTGGGCCCCATCCCTCCTCCTCCAGGCCCTGCCTGTGGGTAACAGTTTCATCTGGTTATGTTGGGTCCTCCTGATCAAGGAACATCTGAGCTCTAGAGATACATGCCCTGGGTTCAAATCCTGTCTCTGCCATTTCTCAACTGTGTGACCTTGAGTAAGATACTTCACCTCTCTGTCCCTCAGTTTCTTCCTCTGAAGTGGAGTAAGAGTGCCTGCTCCTTGTTGATTAAAAGATTAAGTGGAAGAATACATGTCAAATATTTAGAAG